TAGTAAGTATATAGCTAAAATTAATATTCAAAATTTTATTAAAAAATTTAAATATTAAAAAAATTAGTAAAAATTTTCGCAGGCAAATTTGCCTGTGTTACAATTTAAGGGATATATAAAAAACATATAAAATTTTTTAAAAAAACTCGCCCGGATAGTAAATATACTAAAAATTTTTTTCTAAGGTTTTGTAAATTTTAATCTGGCCAGGTTATGAAAACTGATTTATTAAATTTGTATGGCTTTATTTAAAAACTTAGTAATAATAAAAACTATTTCTAAACTAAAAACAATTTGCAAAAAAATTGTTAGCCTAACATTTTATAGCTGTGATAAATGTACCTATCAGTGATCTGTTACACTATCTTGTATACAAGTTAGATAAAACTTTGTTAGCTTGTCGAAAGCTAATCTTTTTAATTTTTTTTTTTTTATCAAAAGCAAAAGAAAGTAATAATTTTATATCAACAATACAAAACCACCAACTAACAAGAAACAAAAAAAAACTATATTTAACAAAAACAAAATGAATAAAAGAGAAATTTTATAAAAGAAAACAAAAAGAGAAACAAGAAATACAAAAAAAAAAAAAAATGAAGAGAAAAACCCAAGAGCTAACAAAGAGGTAGACTATCTCTATTAAAAAGCAGTATAGTAAACAATCTGAAGATTGTAATGAAAATTAAAAAGGAACCTGCAGGTTGATAGCATAGCGGTTATGCTTCCAGATTGCAAATTGGAAGGTTGCTGATTCAATTCCTCCCAGCGGCGAAATAATGAAAACCCAAATATGGAAGTGAAACACCGTGGGGTACAGGGAACTCGGGATATCTACGGATAGACATATTCGGGGAATAGTTATTCCGAGAAGTTGTGGCTGTGAAATGAGACGTGTTAGAACTCCGATTTGGAATAACCGAAGTTATGAGATGTAATGTGAGGCCGAGTCTGATAAAGATACTACAAGAACTCGTGGCGATACCGGATTGGCTGGTGAAAATTCCAGTATAATAGAAAGATGATTTGGAGTGTCGTGCAGGTGGTTGGATCTAGGCCCAATGAGAGAACCAGAGAATGTTGTGCAATGGAATTCTAGATAAATAATATATAATACCTATATGGGGTTATGAAGGTCCTGTGACACTAAGTAGGATTTCCTTATATCAAGAAAATGATCTACATCCGATATAACACACAATTTTGATAATATTATATATATATATTGTTATTTTTAGTATAAAAAACTCTTCCTATAAGTAAAATTTCATGCTACGCATTTTTTACTTAGAAATAAAGGCCGGTTGTCATAGTAAAATTTTGCGTTATTTATGATTTCTTTATTTTTGGCGTTTGTTTAGATTTACATTAAGATCTGCAAGATCTGCAAGATCCTGCAATTTTTATTGGCTTCGAGCCTAATTTTTGTAGATCTTTAGCCTGTGATTTTCTTGACATAAGGGAATCCCACTAAGTAGCATGCGTACTAGAGTCAACTATATAATAGCTAGAACCAAAGTCACGGCGAGACTTGCCGAAGATATAAAAAAAAAAAAAAAATTAAAAAGGAGTGCATTGTTATAACCCATACCAGGTAGAAGTAAAAATTTTATAACAAATGCAATAATTGTATATCTCTAATATAAAGTAAAGCCTAAATGAATATACCGTTTGACTATTTCGGATACCTCTTTAATTAGAGACTCTGATTTAGATCACATAGAGTAGCACTGTATCTACAAATAACTAAGACATGTGATTGCATTCTACTAAGTTTGTCTGAATTTGAAATATAAACAATGCTAATCTTTTAGAAAAGTAAGCCAAATCTCCACTTTTTTCAAAATTTTTTGAAAAACTAATAGAAAAGTAAAGATAAGTAATATAGCTTTAAAGCAACATATAACTTGTTGTTTTTCTTATGTTTTTTTTTTAAGTAACAACCTACAAGCTTTTTTGATAACATTGGTTTTTCAAAAAGTTCCTACCCACCACCAAGATTTTTTATACAAAGACACCTTCTGCTAGTTATTTTGTATAATAATGCTTTTGGCTTGTATGTTAAATACTACTATAGAGAAGTCTTTATATAGCAAAAGATTGATTTCTAGACAAACTGCCAGTAGACTACAACTCTTTAAAAAATTTTTTTGTTTTTCTATTAATAGAAATTTTGGTTTAAGTGATCAGCAAAAAGAGTTGTATTAATACCTATTATTATTTTATCTTAAAAAACTCTTTCTGATGATCACTAAAATTAATAAACAAACAAAATTTGAGATAGAGTTTAAAGCTGTATAGATAATAATACACTAACTAAGTGGCCCTTAGAGGCACAACAAACCTCCAAGATAACAAAAAAAGCTAACCAGAGCAAAGTTGAACCAAAGAAAGCATGGTAGAGGCTCTCTAACTAAGAAAAAAGACCACCCAGAAAGGTTGCTAACTTTATCAACAACTGTTACAGACTCAACAGGCGAAGGTTTTACAGAAACCCTTGACAAACATATAAATAAGCAGTGTATGAAAGAAGAGTGAAAGAATAAGAAGAGTAAACAGAGATATGACCTTATAGGGAAACAGCCACTCGCTAATATTAAATTACTCAACAACGTCGAAGTTGAAAAACCTCCAGATCTTTCGAACAAGACAATGATGGCAACAGAAATAGTAATAGATAAACAGCCTGAGAATTTTTCACAGGCAGATACAAGTAAACAGATCATCAATGCTAAAAAAGAAAATAAAGATATAAATAGTAATGTAGATTAAGAGCAATCTTTCTACAATGTGCAACACATGGATTGCAATATCACCAAACAAAACTCTGACGCGGGGTCCTCATAACCCAGAAAAATAGATGTACGAAATATGACAAATGATCAAAGATTAGAATTACTATGCCAATCAACATCTACAACTTTTTTTATAGAACCCAAACTAAATCTATACTTACCACTGGCAAGAACAACGATTTTAGAATCACCTTCAACAATAACCTCACGGGCCTCTACCCTGGAACCAATACCATCTTATAGAGACAAATTAGTTAAAAATACATGCCTTGAAAGGGCAGATTCTGCAATTGAATAGGTACAGCACATGAGAAGGTTCAAATCCAAACAAGTTGAAGAACCCTTTGATGAGAAAAAATGGCACAATAATCAGATAATTGCTGCAATCAAAACACTAAAGGTGATCAGAGAATTTTAGTATATAAATTCAACACACAACTAGCAGATATGCCAATGACACCAGCAATAAAATTGAAGTTCCAATTCATAAATATAGCCTTTTTCAAATCTTTTATATATAATAAGCAAAGCACATCACCACACCAGGATGAATTTAATAGGCTGTTCTTTTCAGCAATAGATAGATATAAAGAAATACATAATGTGATACTTACGAATAAAAACAATAGAGACTAGATCTTCGAAATGCTAAAAAAAAGTCTTGCTCTAGACACTTTAAAAAACCTCGATTTTGCAATGTTGAATGACCAGGCCATCACTCAACATATATTCTACAGTATAAGGTTTGCCAGATTTAATACTAAGATAGGTTTTGAAGACTTACGAAAATTGATAAGTAAGATAAGAACAAGCAAACTCTCAGAATTGCCGGAAAAACCAGAGGATATCCCAAAAGACACCCTCGGAACACTTCTCTTTCTTTTACTAATAAGTGACAGAAGAAATACACGCTCAGTAGCAATAACCTTAAGACAGCTCTTCACTTTTAAAGAATTACCAGACTCTTACTTCTCGGACCCTCGAGAACCTTTATCTAGTGACCTAAAAGACCTAAAAATAGAAGTAAAAAACTTTTTTCTTATAAAAGATAAAGCTAATCTAGATAAACTTAGAGAATATCGTGCAAAATTGAGTAAGCATTACTATTTCAAGGTATTATTACCGGATAGCTATTTTGATCTACCTGAATCGCTGCCGGCATTATTGCTAGTACCGCAGTTAGTAGAACCAAGAATTAGAGCTATTCCCCTTTTTGCCTAAGGGTGCCGAAGATTTTAAAAAGCACATAAGAATCTTGAAAGAATACTATACTTTTGAGAGACTACCAAATGATTACATCATCAGTAAAAAGAGATTGCCTGCAGAACCAACTCAAGTAAAAACCAAGTATTTCTACGATTTTCCAATCACAGACAAGAAATTAGCAAAATATTTTATAGCAGAAGTAGGGGAGAGATATAGAATACCTAATCCTATGCCAAAAGTATATATGACTATGAATTCAACAGAATTACCAATATTATCTTGGACTCAAGAGAGATCAAAAAAATTGAATTAGCGCTCCTGATTAAAGACAGCAAGCTTCTCGTGTCCACAGCAAGATTCTTAAGAAAATATTATTATTTTCACGAACTGCCAAAACAATGGTTAGATTTACCAGAAAAGGGAAAAAACAAAAAACCATTGGAGAAGGGTATGCTCCAGCGCATAATCTCAGAAAAAGTGAAAGAACTCAATGAACTAGCTGTACAACTACAGCCAGAAGAAAATCTAATATTCCTAATAAACAGCCATGAAAAGGTAGCTAGCACTACAACTTTTATCTGCACTCACTTCAACATCAATATAATTCCTCCTCATTTAATAGAATTACCAGACCTACCCAAACCAGAGTGGAACCTCTTCAACAGAGTAATAGGAAAAAGGTCAGAGCAACAAATAGAGGAGGATGTCTGAGCATAATCAAACAAACAAACACCCCAATGAGGTACAAAAAAATGAAAGTAAAAAAATAAATAATAAAACAATCACAAATAATGACTTTTCGACACAAGATAGCGAAGACAATACACCAAAACCTTTCATGTTCGAAAACTTAAGCCAACTAAAAATCTTTACATATAATGTGCAAGACTTAAATAACAATCTTAAATTCCAGGATCTATTAGAACATATAAACCAAGAAGAAGTATATTTAGTAGCGTTCACTGAAACAAAGCTAAAACAAAATAATGAGTTGGCTTTATATAACCCCCTATACAAAATCATGTTGTCCAATTATGTAATGATAAATAGCTCAGAAAGAGAAGCAAGCCTGGGGGTAGCTTTGACAATATATCCAGCCATCACCACATATATACATGATATAAAAAAGATTGATAGAACAGCTCTGCAGATCGACTTTTTTCTACTACAAACAAAACTAAGCCTATATGCAATATATATCCCAGTACATAAACCAGAGTTGGCTGAGAAAACAATAGAAAAGCTGGCCCAATGAATCAAAATATCATATCAGAAAAACTACAAAATTATTGTATTAGGAGACTTTATCAACAACCCAACAAAAAGAAAAGTGTGCAAAAACTATATGCTGTGTTGAATATCATAAGTCTGATAGACTTCCAAGATAATGACTATTACACCTGGAAACAGGAGAGTAGCCAAAGTCAAATAGATAACATATGGGTATCTGATAATATGTTAGAAGGTTGTCAAACACTGCAACTAACATCAGCAAAACAAATCACCGATAGTGATCACTTGATGTTAAGTACTATTTGGCAGACTGGCATTGAAAAAATGACTAAATCTGTGAAAAATAAAAAAAATAAAAAAGAAAATCTTTAATTACATGAAAGCAAAAGAAAAAGATTGAGAAAATTTCTGTAACTATATCAGTAGTAGAATAGAGCAAAGAGTGAAACAAAATGCCAATAATGTTGCAAATCTCAATAAAGAGTAGAACTAGTTAGCTAATACGATAAAAGCTGCAGCAAATAGCAATATACTTTTTCACTTTTTCCAACAATGTAAGTTCTATGCTTTTTCACTAAAAGCAACAAAAATATACTCAGCTTTAAAAATTATCAAACAAATTATAAGATCACCAAAAGAGCGAAAGGCAGAAGAAATTACAAACAACCTCCTACAAATAAATAAAAAGATAGATAAGATTAACCTCTGGGCAAATACATATCTAAAAAAAATTCAAAAGATCGATCTATTAGAAAAAGATAATCTAATTAAAGAATTAGAGTTAGTACGTATAGGTATAACAAAGGCAAGGCAAACAGAAAATACACTGGCTAAGCATGACAAAATTAAATACCATACAAAAAAGGTGCAATAATTTCCAAAACAACACGAGGTTGATGCTAAATAGCATATTGGGTAGACACAAGGATAAAGTTTCACTAAAAAAGATAATAAAAGAGAATTGTGTAATAAATACGCCACAAGAGATAAAATGGGAAATCAAAGAACATTTTCGACTCTTCACTAAAACCAACTCTCTTGATAATAGCGTAGAAATTTTGTAGCAGAATGATTATAGGCTGAAAGCCAGGGTGGATGGCAAATGGTATGATAGTATAACAAAAACAATTATAGTAGAAGAAGTCAAGTCTATTCTAAAAGACTTACCAATGAAAAAAGTGACAGGACCCACAGGGATAGCGAATGAAATACTGAAACAGCTATCTGAAAATGCAATAGAGCAATACACCAGTATACTTAACAGTTGTATGCTTTTGAGCACAATTCCAGAGCAATGGACAGATGTGAACGTATAGCCAATACCCAAAAAAGCACAATATGATTTCAAATTAATAAACACCAGCCTAATTACCCTGATCGAACACCCTCACAAAGTCTTCACAAGATTAATAATGCAATGTCTAAATCACGTGCTCTATAGATATCAAATCCTTAACTTATCCAACAGCGTCGCACTACCTTTCACCTCGATGGTGAGTGCTATTCAATCTGTAAATCATATCATTGAAGATGCAGAAACTAAAGATAAAGAGTTCTGGATGTTATTCCAAGACATGTTGAAAGCTTATGATTCGATCCATATACCAACTCTTGTTAAGGCCATAAAATGCATAAGAATATCAGAAAAAATAATAACATTAATACAAAATATACTTACAAACTGAAACAATCGAGTTATAACAGATTTCGGTCAGACAATAAATACAAGATAAATGATAAAATTGACCAGGGGGAAATAATATCACCCATCCTATAGAGAATTTTCTATAACTCCTTAATCAACCGAGTCAACAAATTAAAAGAAAAATATGTGTTAAAAACCATTACTCAAGATAAGAAAATCTTTAAGAAAAAAATAAGTGTGCTGGCATACATGGATAACCCCACCTAGATAACTAAAAATTGAGAGAAGCTAGAGTATATAATAGAAGTGACCAATACCTTCTACCAATATAACAATATTAGAGTCAACCCTGCCAAATCCTTGATGGTAACAAACATGAAGAATGAGAATAAATCACTAAAAATAAATAGAATAGTTATACCAAGAGTCGAAAATAAAGAGGCCTTTAAATATTTAAGAGCTTACTTCTCAATAGACAAAAAGAGGAAACCCGCAATAAAAAAAATAAATGAAGAAATCCTCAAAGCCATAAAAAGATATAAAATTGCAAAAATCACAGAAAAACAGGCGGTATAAGTAATCAACTCGGTAATAATAGCAAGAATAGCATATCAATTCAATAGTATATACTTTAGTGAAAAACAAACACAGCATATTACAAATAGTTTTATTAGAATTGTAAGATGAAAAGGTGGCTTCTCTCGGAATATACCAGGAAGCAACTTCCTGCACCTAGAATTATATGCACTAAATTGCCTAAAACAAATGCAACAACAAATGCTTATCCTCAACCTAACAAATAACCTTAACAGTATGCATTTCGAGAAAAGCACAATCAAAATAAGACTATAAAAATTACAAAATTCAGCTTACACTAACGTTTCAATTTTAGA